AGGGTGGTCTCAGGCAACCCCTGTGGAAAGGTCATTTGACCCTCAAAGGGGTCACGACCCACAGGTTGAGAACTCTGCCTTAGGGCTTTACCTTTCAGAGTGGGAAGCTCTTCTGGGTGGGGCCTAGCCCTGAGGGGATACTCCCGTTTGTCCCATTTCAGAGAAGGCCTGTCTTACCTGTGTTCATCTCCTTAACAGTTACAGCTGTCATCAAGCACACACCCTGGTGGTGGCACTGGGCTTCCCAGTGCTCTTCTATTCTCCAAACCACACTCTGCATTTCTCTCTGCTCCACTTGCCCTTGCCCTTGCGTGTAGACCTACCTGCAACGGAAAGCCAGTAGCAACCATACTCACACTCAGCATCAGGAAATTTCCTCCACCAGAGAAATTAGTCCATCAACTTTTAATTTAGCCTTAGGCAGGTTCCTACCGCAATGCAGGAAACTGCCAGGTCTGTGCCCCGCCCACCACGTCACAGGAATGGCCTCTAGCACAGCTGCTGTTGAAGTTCTTGCTTCCCTTTGAAACCTTATGATGTGGGCCTCTATCCTCCACATTTCTCTCAACACTGCTGTCTTAACACGCCTACTTCAGCTTGGCTTACAGCATTCAACTTCTTTTCTAGTCCAAAGATCCAAAGTCTTCTACATTCCTCAAAACAAACAAACACACACACACACACAAACCCCGACATGGTAGTTCTTTATGTCAACACCCACCACAGCAACTCGAGGTAAACCGTTTATGCGGACTCACAGTTCTAGGACCAGCCTGGTCTATCACGTCAGGGAAGTCAAAATGGCAGAGCTTGAGGCATCGGGTCGCATGACATCCCAAACAGGAAGCAGAATGTAAGGGATGCTGCTGCAGCTCAGCTCCTGCTGTCCCCTCATGTAGTCCAGAATCTCACTGAGCTATGTCTTTCCACATGTGTTAACTTAATCAAGATAATTCCCTGGAGGCCCCTTCCTCGGCCATCCCCCACGTGATTCTAGGTTCTGCCTAGTTGAGAATTAGCACTAACTACTACAGACAATATACCTTAAGTCAGACAATCTTAATTCACAGCCATTCCCTAAATGCAACACATGGATTCAAACATAGGTATCATCTCTTACAAGTCCGGTGAATGTGAGGAAGTTAAATACGTTTTTTCCCCCGCTCTACTTCCTCATCTATAAAGTGAAGAAAATAAGTTCTTTGGGTAGTTGTGAGATGAAACAATAGTGCACATGCTAGCATTCAGGCACACCTCGGCCCAGCCCCTTGGGAACCTGGCAGAGTGTGTCACCTCTGCACACGTGGCAAACAGTACCCTGACTCTATGCAGTCACCAAAGGTCCCGCTAAGAGACAAGTTCCACCTACTTCCCCATTCTCTGCCATTCTTCTGAAGAGGTAGACAGGTCTCTGTCTCTCTCTCTTTTCTCTTTTCTCTTCTCTCTCCCCTCTCTCCCTTCCATTCCACTACTCCCTTCTCTCCCCCCAATAATACTTCCCACTTAAGTTTCGCCTGCATGGCGTATTTGTTTCTCACCTACCATGCAACATATCATAATAGTACATATATCGCTTGACAAAGTGTATGCCACACAGAAGAACAAAACAAAACAAAGCAAAAAACCCTCAATAATCCTATCTATAGTATTCTTCCCAAGCCACTACTACCTCATGTAAATTGAGATATGTTTTCATCTGGGTTGCTGAAGCACCTCTGTGTCACACGTAACTGTTTTACAGTAACGTTTGTCTACATACATGTCTAAATCCATTATGAAACTATGAATAGCTGGAAGGCAATGGCTTTGTCTGGCTTTGTTCACAGTTACATCTTAGCACCTAGAACATTGTTAATAGTGAGTGCTCCATAGATACTTGTATTAAAGACAGAGCCAAAAGCCAAATGTTTTTACTACATTCACATGTCACTCAATACAAAGAGCCCAGAACTAGATATGGGTTGTTTTCCTTAAACATCAACTAAGCATGGTAGCTGCAGAGATGGCTTAGTGGTTAAGAGCACTAACTGTTTTTCAGTGGTCTTGGGTTCAATTCCCAGAGTCCACATGATGACATAACTGTCTATAATTGCAGTCCCATGAGACCTGATGCCTTCTTCTGGTGTGCAGACGTACATGCAGACAAAACACCTATATACAGCTGGGAGTGGTGGTGCACACCTTTAATCCCAGCTCTTGGGAAGAAGAATCAGAATGAATCTCTGAGTTTAAGGCCAGCCTGGTCCACACAGTGAGTTTCTGGACAATCAGAATCATATGTGAGACCCTGTCTCAAGCAACAGCAAAGAGATAGATGGACTTTCTGGCAAGAGTAAAGGCAAGAAGGCATGTCCTTTTATTTGAGTTATACCAGAAGATTCTGCCCATATTTGGAAGTCTTTTCACCTCAAATAATCAAATAAAAAAATCCCTCCCGGACTGCCCGGAGCTTGCCTCTACTTGATTCCAGATTCTGTCAAATTAACAACCAAGATTGATGTCACACTTCCATGTCTCCGTTTAATCACAAAGGACACAAATGAGCAGTCATATGGGAAAGTTATACAAGGCCAGGCCGTGGGGATTGCCACAGCTTCCATGTCTTCTCAGTGTAGTGACCAGTCTCCCTGTTTTAGCAGCCATGACAGGCTAACATGTGCTTGCATGACCTTGCTGCTCCTGTGCTGGTCACTAAGGTCAGATGCCCTCCTCGTGGCAAGGAACCAATCAGAAGTCAGCTGGCGGGGCTGTGCTTTACGGCTCTGGGTGTGCTTTACGGACAGTGTACAACAGTTACATGCAGAACATAGCAACTACCAGTTGACCAATCAACATAGGGTGGGTCACCCAAACCTGGAAACTCACCAATCCTGAGACTGTTTCATATCCCTAGACACTCCTCTTATGCTGCCCTTTAAGATTCCTGCCTCGCCGGGCGGGGTGCCTCACGCCTTTAATCCCAGCACTCGGGAGGCAGAGGCAGGCGGATCTCTGTGAGTTCGAGGCCAGCCTGGTCTACAGAGCGAGTTCCAGGACAGCCTCCAAAGCCAGAGAGAAATCCTGTCTCGAAAAATCAAAAAAAAAAAAAAAAGATTTAATGCAGGACAGAAAAAAAAAATTGAGTGTTGATGGTGCTGATCCATCAGGGCCATGGAACAGACTCAGATGAAGCAAGAATTTTAAGCACAAAACCCACAAGCTTCTGTGTCAAGTTATAGTTACAATTTTCCACCAATCAGGATTCAAATATTACGGGATTTCCTTAAGTATTTCATCTTTGTCAATTGACATACAATGCAAGTTTTTCAGTCCAACAAATCAGATTCACTTGTTCTTTTTGTTGTTAGGAACAGCCATCATGTTTCTAGAGAACTAAACATGCATAACGCCTATTTCTATGGTTTAAAGATGAGGTTGATCAGCTATTGGAAGGTTCCCAACTCTCCTAGGGCTTGGGAACCTGAACTTTGTTTCACCCTACAGCTAAAATGGAGTCTGAAGTAAAAATGACAGTACTTAGGATGGGTGGTTTTTTTTTTTTTTTCTTTTGCCTGTTCCCAACACTGGTGACCAATGTTAAACACACCGGTAGAGAATGAAATCACTACCACAAGCTGGACTGTGGTGGTGCACGCCTTTAATCCCAGAATTTAGGAGGCAGACACAGGCAGATCTCTTGAGTTCAAGGCCAGCCTGGTCTACAGGGAGAGTTTCAGGACAGCCAAGGCTACACAGAGAAGAAAAAAAAAAGATCACTACCACAATCTTGGAGCCAAATTTGAAGCAAGCTTTAATTAAATACTGGTCAGAATGATGGACTCTGGCCAGGGCCACCTCAAGGTTCCCAGGAAATAGCCCTGAGTCACTTCTTGCAGAGGTTTAAAAAGGCAGCCCCACAAGGCCACCATATTTCCCATCAGGTCTAATCAGGGGCAACCATAAATCCTGACGCACTTCCTGCCTGCCCACATACCTCCCACCTACATATGATCAAGCACATCTGGTGTAGTTGGGTCAAACAAATTTGTTTAGGGGAGTGAAAAATGTGGCTTGTTATCTCCCATAAACAATAGCCTCCAGCATTTCAGGAAGTATCTGTACTTGGGTAAGGGACTTACAGGTAAAAGGCATTTTTATTTCATGGATCTCTTAGGCACAGTAACAAAAACTTGAAACATAACTTTTGGCTCTCAAACAAGTATCATCCTGATGCTATTTATAAGTCTACCAGTCATGCCACTAACATACAAAAGACATGCATAACTTGAAATATTCCAACAGTTTTAAGGGTGTTACACTAGGAAACTTCATGAATACCAAATATACAAATATAAATTCTAATAAGTCACTAATAATGCCATAATTTGTCAAACAAAATTCATTACATACTCAGCAACTCATTATCAAGACCTTTTATTTATTAAATAAAGCAACAAAGCCGGGCTTTGGTAGTGCACGCCTTTAATCTGCTAACTGGCAGCAGCTGAAAAGCCTTAACCCACAGTGTATGAGGGTTTCCTGTAGCCTCGCACATGGAGCTTCCCCCAATACCAGTCTTTCCCAGCCTCTATAAACTCTAGCCCCTCCCCTAGGCCTCATGTAGAATTGCTAGGTGGTAGGCAGCAGCTGGATACTCAGGCAAGAACTCATGCCTTACTTCACCCCTCTATACTGGGGTGAGGGATGGGGTGCAGTGAGGTAGAGGTAGAGATGTAAGCCATCTAGAAGCCCAGCTTGGATGATCTTTTGCAAGAGTAACATAACATGAATGCCCCAAATTGCTTGACTCACTAGATAGACCCTTACAACAAATGCACATTGGACTATATGAATAAGAATTAATTATTGTCAGGCATTATGATGCATGCCTATAACCTCAGCACTTGGGAGGCTGAGGCAGGAGAATCGTGAGTTCAAGGCCTACTTGAGCTACAAGGCAAAACTCTGTCAAAAGAGAAAGGAAGAGAATGCAAGGGGAGAAGAGGACATAAGGGGAGGGGAGGGGAAAGAAGAGAAGGGGAGAGGAGAGGAGGAGAGGAGAGAAGAATGGAGGATACCCAGTCATTACCTCGAATCCATAGGGGACTAGAAGCAGCAGGTGTGTGCTGTTCACACTTCCTCCTGACATTGACCCAACCTGGGGCTTGCTCAGTGTCAATCCTCAGGAAGACGTGAAGTTATAGCCTTTCGTGTCATCTTGGTAACTGGCGCTTCTTTCCACGTCTGAGTTCCCTTTCTTGTGCACAGGTTAGTCCTGATTTATAGTGTTTAGCTTGATTGTGCCTCGAGTTTCTAGAATTTAAGAATTCTCTCTGCAGCCGGCAGTGGTGGCACATGCCTTTAATCCCACCACCCAGAAGTTAGAGGCAGGAGGATCTCTGTGAGTTCAAGGCCAGCCTGTTCTACAGAGCAAGTTCTAGGGCAGCCAGGGTTGTTACACAGAAAAACCTTGTCTCAAAAAAAAAAAAAAGAATTTGCCTTGCTTTTCCAAGTAAGTCAATGATTTTGAGGCCTTCTATTTTATGAGATATGTCTGTATGTCTGTATACACTACTGTATCTGGTTGGCATGCACTTATTATTCTATTGTGCTAAATAAAGTCTTCACATACCTTAGCTTTGAGTTTTGATGACTCAGTAGGCAAGTTTTCAAAGAGCTCACTAGTGTAACATGTCTCTCTGATGAAATTTTCCATTTTTTTCTTCAGCTGGGCATGTTGGCACTCACTTTTAATCATAGTACTCAAGAAGCTGAGGTAGGAATATCTCTGTGATTTTGAGGCTAGGCTGACTTACATGAGTTCCACAACAGCTAGGGCTACGGAGAAAGACCCTATCTCAAACAATCAAATAAACAAACTTACAGAGTTTAAACATGTTAGAAAATAGAATCAAACCAAGAATCTGGGTACAGTCCAGAAAAGATAGTTAACACTGGATGTTCAATACATGCCAGACACTGTGCTATATATTTTATATGCTTATGCAAGCATTGAAGCATTTTTTTGCAGAGTAGGAAACTGGCCAACAATGGTATCAATTAAGGTGGATCTAATTTCAAGAAATGAAAACTTACAGAGAGTGGTTAATACTAAAATTTCTAAAAAGTTAATGGGAAAAAAACCTGAAACGCTTGGAGATCTTGGGTCCGCAGATTCTAAATCACCAGGGGGAATGGAGGAAAGGCTCTGCATTATAAGCAACTAAACACGATGGCAGTGCCTGTCTGCAGCCCATACTTTGAGAAGTGGCTGCTTAACCACACGACACTTACTGCTTACCTAATGATAGGCTTGAAAGTGGGTGATTCCAGGACTGATTTAGCAGCTCCACAATTTTCCCCAGGACCAGGATGCTTCTCATCTTTCTGATGTGCATCACAAGAAGCTCACTCTGTGATCTTGGGCTGTTTCTTCGGTCACTAGATGCCCACTGTGCTCCAAGCCATCACATACTGATGCGTCTACAAACATGATTTCCTTCTCTGAGGATGGACACGTTGCCGGCTGACAAACACAGAAAAGAAGAGATGGGGTAGATGTAAGAGAAGGTAGGAGCAGAGGGCAAAACCACTGAAGCTGATAGGTAGGCAGTACACAGTATCTGCCAGAGCTGAGAAACAGCTAGGATTGAAAAAACCTGGGTTCGAAACTATCTCACTTCTGTGTGTTGAGTCAGCAATAGCTGAGATGACTTGAAATAATCTCAGCAGATGGGTTAAGACTACGATGGACCTAAGCACTCTCTGATAACTTGTTCTATACCAGCTTGAAGAATCCATAAACTATATATAAAAAAGGAAAGGAGTCTGGTTCAAACCCAGAGTTGAAGAGCCACATAAGTAATATCTTAGTTAGGCTTTCCATTGCTATGACCAAACACCTTGACCAAAGAGCAAGTTGGGGAGGAAAGGGTTTATTAGGCTTACACTTCAGCATTGCTGTTCATCACTGAAGGAAGTCAGGACAGGAACTCAAAACAGGGCAGGATCCTGGAGGCAGGAGCTGATGCAGAGGCCATGCAGGGGAGCCGCTTACTGACTTGCTTCCGCTGGCCTGCTCAGTCGGTTTTCTTATAGAACCCAGGACCATCAGCCCAGGGATGGCATCACCCACCATGGGCTGAGTCCTCCCTCAATGATCACTAAATGAGAAAATGCCTTACAGCTGGATCTCATGGAGGCATTTCCTCAGCTGAGGCTCCTTCCTCTCTGATGATTCTAGCTCATGTCAGGCTGACACAAAACCAGCCAGTTCCAAAGATTCTGCTTCAGCAGAGAGCCAATCTTTTTTTTTTTTTCTGAGACAGGGTTTCTCAGTGGCTTTGGAGGCTGTCCTGGAACTAGCTCTTGTAGACCAGGCTGGTCTCGAACTCACAGAGATCCGCCTGCCTCTGCCTCCCAAGTGCTGGGATTAAAGGAGTGCACCACCATTGCCCAGCCAATCTTTTTTTTTATTCATTTAGTGTGTGTATATGTGAGTGTGGGATATGTATGTATGTATGGATAGTGTGTGTGTGTGTGTGTGTGTGTGTGTGTGTGTGTGTGTGTGTGTGGTGTATATGCGCACCGGTAAGGCATGCACTCACAGACGACAGAGGAGGACGTCGGCTGTCCTGCTCTGTCCCATGCCTCCTTACTCCTGTGAGACAGGCACTTTCCCTAGTGGTTACGGTACACATGAGGCAGCCACACTCAGCTTTTTATTTGGGTGTTAGGATCTGAACACAGGTTCTCATGTTTCCACAGCTTATGCTCCTTGTTTATCTGTTTGTTTCTGAGACAGAGTCTCACTATGTAGACAAGGCTGTGACGCCTCCTGGGATTAAAGAATGGGTAACCATACCCAACCTTCAATACAGTTTACCTCATCCATCTTCCATTTCCTCCCTCCAACCTCACCCACACCCAGGACTCCCCCTCCCCAAACTTATCTCTTGCTTCATGTCTTCTTTTTAAAAATATTATAAATAGCTCCCTGAATCCAATTAATGCTGATCATATGCACATGGGGACGAGGCTGTTCACTGGGGGTAGAGCAAAGCTATCAATGGCCACATCCTCAAAGAAAAGTGACTCTTTCTGGGATGCTTTGATTGGTAAATGTCTCCCATAGTCTTGGGGGTTGGTTGTAGCCAGCTTTCTTTGGCCGTCAACCCCTAAATCATGACACGGAGACTTATCAAATTATGAATGCTCTGTCTTAGCTTAGGCTTGTTTTTAGCTAGCTTTTAAAACTTAAGTTAACCCATTTCTATTAATCTGTGTACTTCACTGAGACTCATTTACCTCATCTATGTCCAGCTTTCCTGCTTCCTCCCTGTCTGGCTCCCCTTTTCTCTCTGCCTGCCAGCCGCGCCAAGCTGTTGTCCATTCAGCTTCTTATTAAACCAGTCAGGTACCTTAGGCAGGCACAGCAACATATCTTTACGTAATTAAACAAATGTAGTATAAATAAAAGCAACACATCTGCCGGGCGTTGGTGGCACACGCCTTTAATCCCAGCACTCGGGAGGCAGAGGCAGGTGGATCTCTGTGAGTTCGAGGCCAGCCTGGTCTACAAAGCGAGTTCCAGGACAGCCTCCAAGACAATACAGAGAAACCCTGTCTCGAAAAACCAAAAAAAAAAAAAAGCAACACATCTTTACATAGTTAAACAATTATTCTATTCCACATCATTTCCCCCTTTTGGCCTAAATAAAAACGAAAGGTATTAACTTTAACATAATAAAACTACTTACAATAAACACAGTTACCAAGTAAGAATTACATTTACAATATCCAGGCCCTTTTGCACTTGACAAATATGGAGAAATCACTGTATTTACCCTATCTTGATGAGTCCAAAGCTCTGTACCTAATTTACCTTCTATCATAACTAAGGAAAACTGAGCTGGGTGGTGGTGGCACATGCCTTTAACCCCAGAACTCAGGAGGCAGAGGCAGGTGGATCTCTGTGAGTTCGAGACCAGCCAGGTCTACAAGAGCTAGTTCTAGGACAGCCTCCAAAGCCACTGAGAAACCCTGCCTCAAAAAAAAAAAGCTAAGGAAAACTGTAAGTTTCTAGTCTTTAACTCCATCAATGCCCCAAGAAGGATGTAATACTACCTGAGTAAACAGAAAGTACAGAGCAAACAACTTCCAGAACTATAGAAATGACAAACACATCGTCTGCCTGGATAGTTACCCAAAGTTCCTCTCCAACATTGGGGCATCCATCTTCAGCCTACAGGCCTAGAATATCTAGCAAACTTTTCGATGAATCAGGAATTTTTGAAGGATTTCCCACCTTGTCTTGGCAAAGTTTGGCAGTCACTTTCCTTTGTGCACTACATGGCCAATTTGGACACCATACTGTCAGCCGTCAACACAAGGATAGATAGTTTCTTGCCCAAATGCCTAGCTTTGCCACATTAAAAGCAAACTCCATATGGAGGTTCTTCAATGCCCATCATCCTTTTATGAAGTAGATTGGTGCTGTCAGGAGGAACAGAAATGTCTCACTGTCATGAAAAGCCTTAGGTTATTAAACATCATAAATTCTGTAAGTCTCTTGTGTTTTTTTGTTTGTTTGTTTGTTTGCTTTTTTGAGACAGGGTTTCTCTGTGTAACAGCCAACAGCCTTAGCTATCCTGGAACTAGCTCCATAGACTAGGCTGACCTCAAACTCACAGAGATCCTTCTGTCTCTGCCTCCCAAATGCTAGGATTAAAGGCATGTGCTACCACCACCTAGCTCTATAGGTCTCTTAACTGTTTGAAGATCACCTATATATCTAAATATATCTGTTTAACCTTGAAACATACCTCATTTGATTACAAATTTGATTATTCTAGATGACTAAATACTAACTTGCATTCTTTAATTATATATTACATTTTAAATGAACTACACAAGTACAATACCCCAAACAAAAGTAGAAGCATACATACAGTGTAACAAAAATAAGTTTAAATTTATATTGATATACCAAAATCCATGTAAAAAATTTGAGGTTAATAGTTGTCTTTTCATCCTACATTCTTATGTCACCCCATAAACAATGACAAACATCCATAACCCACTGAATGACCAAAAAAGCACCCACTACTCCTCTTGAGAATGTGGGTATTGTATTCTCTAGATTGCTTCCTGTTGTCTGGGGGGAGGTGATGGTGTATTTAGAGAACCCTGAAAAAAATGAGATTATGGTCAAGTCCTGGGAAAACTAGTTGTATTATTTGTTGTCCAGTGTCAGAACTGTTGTCATGTAGAGGTTCAGTATATATGTCACCTCTCTTGTAATTTTTCTTGGTTTATTTCTTTATATGTATAGCCAAGCTTTTCAGAAGGTCTTCCCTGATTAAACCTGATCTCTATTAACCTTGAAGGAATCCACAATCTTTCATTTCCCATGGAAACAAAAGCATAACCTTTCCCACAACGCAATGCATTTTCTGAATTCCATTTTAAAGTTAATATAGCCTTAAAGTATCTAGGCTGGTTTAATTCAGCAATCCCTTTTTACATCCCAATGTCTTTCAGCAGCTGTCATTCTCTTATTAGCATTCAAGTAATTCAAAATCAACACAACACTACACAGGATCCAGACTCCCTATGTATTTCCCATCTTTACTCTCTCTTTAAAGACTTTATTATTTGAAAACTATTTTTCCTATGACTATCTATACACTCTTCTTTTCTTTCTTAAGTGCCCACACACATTTTTAAATACACTGTAACTTATTTAGAAGTTTTTCCATCTGTACTGATTCATTGTGTACCTATAGAGTTCTCTGATCCTGTAAGCCAAATCTTTGCTCTGGTGACTGACTCTGCCCTGCTGGAGTCCATGAGAGCTGAGCTTTACAGTCCTACCGGTCCTAACTGAGAGCCACATTTAACTGAGAGATGCATTTAACTGTCCCAGACCTAGGAAGTTGGTGCCTGCACTGTGTCCATTCTCTCTCTCTCTCTCTTTCCAGCATCCTCAGGCCAAATGTGGAAATTGAGGGTTCTAATTGGAATACTTAGTCCCCAGCTGGTGATGCTAATGGTCAGGTTTAGGGGGTATGGCCTTCCTGGAGGAACTATTTCACTGTGTGGTGATATATTATTTATGAAGTATCAGAATGCAAAGCCAGTCGACCTAGTTAGCTAGAGAAGCTAGGCAGTGGTGGTACACACCTTTAATCCCAGGACTCAGGAGACTCAGGTACATGGATCTTTGTTAGTTCAAGGCCACACAGTGCTGCATGAAATTGATCCAGTCTAAAAGAGAAACAGCTCAAACAAAGGTGATCTCAGCACTTGGGATTTTTTTATTTCTCTCAAACCACAGGATTTGAGAGATTTTAAAGGAAGAAGCAAAGGGTCTCATGTGAGATTTATTCTCCAGTCATGCTGAGGAAAGGACAGCCCTTTCAGCCTGCGGTAGAGGTAAGAACCAGTGGCCTGGCTGCTTTGCTTTTCTAACCTTCAGCTTGAAGCTTGAACTCCAATATCTGTCTCTGGGTCTTTCATGAATCATGTTACATCCCTGGGAATAAACTTTGAGAGCTTAAGACCTTGCTCCACCTGCACCCCTATCCTCCCCCACCCTGCCTCAAGCTTCTAAATTATGTGCTTTTTATAGCACCAATCAAGCTCTGAAAGAATGTTATGACTTTGTGTTTTTATGGTTCCTTTCCTTTTAGATGCCATTTATATGCATACAGGTGTTACCTCTTGTGAGATATTGGTGTTCTGGTTTGCCTCTGGGCTAAACTAACTGGGAATGAATTTGTAGGTGCCAGGTACTCAGCCTTATCTGCCATAAGATCTGGGCCCCAAGAATAAAACTAAAACAAACTGTAGTTGCAGGCCACAGACAAGGATGGTGCACAGGCACTGTAGTGTAGACAATGATATCAAGATGGTTCCTTTGTGTTTCATCCAAGAGCCAAAATTTAACATATTATTTAACTAATTGCTAGGAAAGGATTTTCTAGTTACTTTCA